TAATCCTGCATCATGTCATTTGTTTTTAAATATATGTATATGTATATATATATATATATATATATATATATATATATATATATATATTAAACCAAGTATAATTAATCTCGGTATTATTACAACAAGCTTAAAAAACAAGAGAAGAGTGGTTTTTGTTTTAACCTTTCCACTAGCCATAAAATAAATCATGTCACCTTTCTTTACAGTTCCATCAATAACACAGAAATAGACAATAACGCCCTTATACGCATCATAGTAACTGCAAGATAAAATTCATTATCAAAACTTACTCAGTATTATTATTCCTGTAAATACGACACCTATCATAAAAAGGGTAAAATGGTAAATTGCAAAAAAGTCATTAAAAAAAACGATTGACACTGCGTTATTTTCTTGTTAAAATTTAATCACAAAGTTTTCTAATTTTTGCAATGTTGACCACTTGACTGGTCAACCCAGTTACCCGCTGATGTGGCATGATGATGTGTCAAGATTAAAAAAAAAAAGTGGTTGATGCTTAATGTAATAAGTTCTTGTTTTCAAATTATTCAGAAATCAGTTTTTGATCTTGTCCGGTTCGAAACCAAACCGATTATATATTAATTTATTAGCTTTTTTTGTTATAGTTTGAAAGAAAGATTGTTTTAAATATAAAACTTGTGAATCTAAAGAGTGTAATCAATAAAGATAGAGGCTTGCAGATTGCCATTAGAACATCTTCTACATCCTGTCAACACTTGTGTTAACCAAACAGAATAAATTCAAATTAAGGACATAATCTAGATGAAAAACAATAAACATACTAGAAAAACTTAATAGATGCAAAATTACTGATAATCAATAAAGATATAGGCGTGCACATTGCAAAGTTCTAAGATTTACATTCTGTTAAATAGATTCTCTAGGAGATACCCCAAAATTAGACATGGTAACAGTAAATCAAATGTTTGACATTCATGAATTGCTGAATGTTGATTGCACTTTCAAGCGGACAAGAGAGACGAGAGTAACAAAGAGAAGAAATAAACGGAGGAACTGAGAGACATACCTAATTGCAGGGGCCAACAGTGGTGACTGGTGAGAGGTGGAGCAGGGTGATTGATTGCAGCGATAGTGAAACCAGGTCCAAACTCGATTGAACGAATATGAGGCGGCGATTAATCTAATTTTGACTTTCAATCTTCGGTGTTAGGGCTTATCGATTGTAAAAGGAAGAAGACAGACATACCCTCGCACATACAACAATCAGGGGAATGGTATGGAGAATACCCAGGAAAAGACGCAAGGCTTCCGTCAATTTACCAGTGGTGGTGGCTTTCTAGCCAGCTTTGAGTTTTTCTTCTAACTGAGAGAAATTGAACACAAGTGCAGGTGGGGCCCGGACGTTAGGGCTTGCTGACTCACTCCAGCCACACTCAATAGCCAATGAGATCAATGGATCCGAAGAGAAAGCACGCAGGAAAGCATGAATCCCCATGTGAAGACCAAGAAACAGTGATTTCAACAGTGTGAAGTTCTTTATGCCAAGTTGGCGGCTGAGCAACCGCATAGCAGTGTCGAAGTTTCCAGCCGCCGCATGTTCGGCCGCTAGAGATGATTTCTGGACCCTAGCACGTCCTAGAGAGAAGGGAGGTGGCGATGCCTTAGGGTTTTTACAGAGAAAGGAGATCTAGAGGAAAAAGTGAAGAAGCGGGCACTTCAAAATTTTAGAATCGCAAAGGATTTCAGTTTCCGCCTTTAAAAACGCGCGTTTGATAAAAAAAATATAAAGCGACATTTCTAGAGGACACGCATTTAAAACAAGTGCCCTCCGTGTTTGTATTTTTTTGTTGGACACTAATTTGAATGTGCGCAAAAATGTGTGTCCTCTATCCTTCAAATTTTGGAAGGCTGGCATTATTTTTAAGGTCACACAAAAATACGTATCGTAAATCAGCGAGTGTCATTGTTTGCGTTTCATTAAAGGGTATTTTTCTTGTAGTGATTACTCATAAATTCAAGTCATCACATAAATTGTAAAACAATATCAGAGTATCCCAAAATCCTCAAATCTCCATAAGCCGACGTATGTGTACAATCATGCCTCCACCTTCCCGGAATCTACAGAAGTACCTGAAACACATTTTACACAAACACTGTATGCACGAAGCTTAGTGAGTTACCCAAAATACCACATACACAAATAATTAGCCTCGCATGGCTAAATCTCGATAAGGACCCTTCGGTCATGTGTCTCAGTGAAGACCCTCCGGTATCACGTCTCAGTATGGACCCTCCGGTCATAGCTCAACATATACAC